GTGTGTGTTTTTAAGCCGGTGTCCGGGGGCGTGGCCTTGTACGTATAGTGCCCGGACTGTTTTCCGTGTGAATGGCTGTGGGCGTGCCCTGCCTCGGGTCATTAGCAGATAATGAAGTGCGACAGAAATCCTGTGCCTCTCCTTGGTTTCACATGGATTACATAAACTGAAAATATTTATTTTTCATTTAAATTGCTTTATTTAAAAGTAGACACTTTAAGCTTTCTATAGATATATTTCTCATGTTTGTCTGTGCAGTATTCGCGGAGTTTCAGTTCATTTTAGTGACGTGTTTCAAAAAGATTTTCACGGAGACTGAGACGGCTGAAAGCGCACCCTGTTTATTTTCATTATTGTACAAAAGCACAATGTTTCGTGGATATTGTGAGTATACATGAATAAAAGTAGACCATTTACAGATTAAAATTATGTACTATACTTACGTGTATGATCAAACATGACGACGCATTTTAAGTTCTTTTCACGGTTACCAGAAAAAAATGCAAGTGTCCCCGCCGGCGGGTCCGCCGACTCCTAAGGGTTAAAGAAACTTGTCACAAGTGTGGCAAAATTGGCCATATCCAGAAAAGGTGCAGGTCCAAAGGTTCAGCTATCACTTTTAAGGCTACTGGGGGAGGAGAAAATAGAGGACTTGGACACAGAGGAGGTCATGTTCACTTTGTACAAAATGGATGAAATAGACATACCAGTAGAAGAGCCATTTTTGGAGAAACTAATAGTTAATGATAAAAAGATACAGTCTGAAGTTGACTCTGGATGTGGGGTTACAGTGGTAAACCAGTCAGTGCACAAAACATCATGGGGAAAGAAAGTGCCAAAATTACAACCGTGCAGAGTGAGACTGAACTTATACAGGGCACAGAGTAAATGTGCTGGGAGCAGCTATGGATGGTCCAGGTGCAGCACCAAAAAGTCAGAAACAGACTTACCCCAGGTAGGCAGGTACTGGATGCGGAGGCTAGGCTTACAGTGTGCACCAGAAACCCAGATCTACCATGTCAGGCAAGAGAGCTTAGAGGAGGTACTGGGTAGATATGAGAAAGTTTTCAAGGATGAATGAGGTAGATTTAAAGCCCCCCCCCAGCAAGCATTTAGATTAGATTAGATTAGATAGCACTTTATTAATCCCTCGGGAAGGTTCCTCCGGGAAATTTAGTTCCAAGGCTGCCGTCACTTCAGCGCCATCTTGCCATCAACCCGACCATACATTTACAAACATCACATTACAGGGGGTAGAAAGGTCAGGAAGACAGGGGAACAAGATTACGTGAGGAGAGTAGAGGTGAATAAAAAAAACAGCCCCCAGACTATACTCCCGTAGGGAGTACAATGTAGGAACAGAAAAAAAACACCTCAGCAGCATAAGCACATAGTCACCACATCTTACAACATTAAAGTCGAGACTGGCAATAGGGGAGGGGAATGGGGAGGTGGAGGTAGTCCAGCATAGTCAAACATCAGTCTGATCCTGCAGCCAAACGACGCTGGGGGTATGAAGCGGCGAAGGCGTGGGATGGGGGTAGGGTGTCCTTGTGGTTGGGGGAGAGGAATGCAAGGGAGTCTCACTGCCTTGTTCTTCAGGGGGAGTTGCTGAGCTCAGCAGCGGCCTTGGCCAAGGCCCGTGCTGATTAGGGGGGAGCCAAAAGCAGATAGAATGGGGTTGTTTGGGTTTTCAGGCGAGACACTGTAATTTCGCAGCTCCTCTAATGTCCATGCTGGTCTCCGCCATCAAAAATCCTTTGCAGAGCCGTGAGCCTCTCCGTGATGTTATCAAATCTGCGGTCCATAGTCACGGTGATGTTATTAAATCTGCGGTCATTAGACACAGTGATGTTATCCAGTTTGCGATCTATAGCCAAAGTCTTGGCGCCAACAGCTCTGCCAAGTCCGTCAATCATCCCAGCATGCCTAGTTGGGCTTTGAGCGGCTGTCACCGTTTTCTTCAATTTCTGATAACTCAGGGCAATGCCTAATCCAATCAGCATCAGACCTGTAATCATGGTTCCAAATAGGTAAATGTCTTCGATGTCCTCCACGGAAAGAGCTGCCAGACACACAACCCTCCACTTCTCCCATCTGTCCATCGTGTAGCCAGCTGCGTATGTTCCTGCAGGACAGTCAGGTGCCCCTGAACCTGGGCTTCTCGTTGAGAAGATGGTGTCAATTGCGTTGCGTTGAGACCAGTTGATCAAATCCATAATTTCCTTAGTTTTGAAGAGCAGGGCTGAGAGAGTCTCTCAAGTATAGACAGTAAGACAGTAGACTGGACGAGACGAGAGGAGCAAAGCAGGGAAGATAAGGGGAGGGAGAGGGAGAGAAGTGCGTCCGCCTCCGCTGAGAGCAAAGAAAAGAAGGAAATGCGGACACGGATACAACCCCTAGGTTCTTTAAAGCCAGGCCTGTGTCATATTATGGTGCTGCAGTGGTGCTCTAATGGTTAGGGACCCACACTTGTAATTTGAAAGATTGCTGGTTCGAATCCCCAAAATGTGGGGTGCTGAATTAGCTACCCACTGCTATGTCATGATGTCACATATGAGGACACATTTTGTTGTTGTGCACTGTGTGCTGTGGTGTATCAACAATGATCACTGATCTTTAAATACTCCATTAGAGGAAGAGTTGAGGTGGAACTTGAACATCTTCTAGCCCAGGAGATAATTAAACCAGTGTAGCATGCAGAATGGGCAGCACCTGTGGTCCCAGTGTTAAAACCAGATTACTGTGTGGGGGCTACAAACTAACAGTAAATCAAGTATCCAACCTGGAACAGTACCACATTCCCAAAATCAAAGACCTCCTTACCAGTCTTTCAGGTGGACAAAAGTTCACTAGATAGCACCATATTCTCACATCACATGCCTGATGGAACACAGAAACCTACTGGAATCCCCTCACAAACGCTGAATGTGGCAGAGAAAAATTACTCACAACTGGATAAGGATGGTTTAGCAGTGATGTTTGGAATAAAACGCTTCCAGCAGTACATTTATGGGCATAAGTTCCCTATAGTGACAGATCACAAGCCTTTATTATCAATTTCAGCCAGATTCGAGCAATTACAATCGGCCTCTCCTAGGATACAGAGGTGGGCTGTCATTTTAAGGGCCTTTAATGGACTGACTAAGATCCTGTTCTCTCACATGTCCAAGGGATGGTTCACAAGGGCTGGTCATCAGGAAAACATGGGATGGAAATAGCTCCTTATGAGGTGAGGAAACATGAACTGCATTCCAAATGGTTTTGTGTTGTGGAGATCAAGAATAATTGTGCCAAAACCAGGGCAGGGAAATGTCTTGAGACTATTCCACCAGTGTCATCCAGGAGCGTCCCGAATGAAGGCTTTAGCTAGGAGTTATGTGTGGTGGCCAAAGATGGACAAAGACTTGGAGGATATTGTAAAGAACTGCCCAACCTGTCAGGAACAATCTTGCACCAGCTCCACTGCACCCCTGGGACTGGCCTGGCAAGCACTGGAGCCGGATTCATGTAGATTCATGTCCATTTATGGACATTTATATGCTCATAGATGTACATTCAAAACGGATTAATGTGCATCCAGTGAGCTCCGCAACCGCAGCAGCCACAACTGAATGCCTACACACCAGTTTTAGTAACCATGGACTGCCTGAGTTGTTGGTTTCTGATAATGGCACAGAGATCAAAGACTTCCTGAGGAAGAATGGTATCTGTCATGTGACATTCAAAAGCATGATGAGAAAATGCCCAGAAGGAACCCTGACAACCAAGGTAGCCCGAGCGTTATTCAGTTATCGAGTGACCCCTCACAGTACAACATGCTTATCCCAAACCGAGCTGCTACTTGGGCGGAAGTTATGTTGCACTCTGGATTCACCAAGACCTGGCCAAGAAAGTACAAAACAAAAAACCAAAAAAGACAAATAATAGACCACAACAAAAGGGTAG